CCAGGCGCAGTGGCTCATGCCTGTAATCCCAGCACTTTGGGAGGCTGAGGTGGGCGGATCACATGAGGTCAGGAGATTGAGAGCAGCCTAGCCAACATGGTGAAACCTCGTCTCTACTAAAATACAAAAATTAGCCGGTGTGGTGGTGCGCTCCTGTAATCCCAGCTACTCAGGAGGCTGAGGCAGAAGAATCACTTGAACCAGGGAGGCAGAGGTTGCAGTGAGCCAAGATCACACCACTGCACTCCAGCCTGGGTGACAGACCTGAGATTCCATCTCAAAAAAATAAAAATAAAATAAAATAAAATTCAGAAAAGTTCAGGGATAGTATTCTTTTATCTGTATTCCAAATAGGATTCACAGATAGAAAGAAATGAAATCAAATGTACATGGCAAATAATTGTGCCTGTAAGGTTCATTTCTAAAAATTAAATGGGATAGAGGTTAGATAAGTGCATATGTATGTCAATATTAATTGAACTGTTCTCCTAAAATGGGTGCTTTTGATTATACAAAAATCTTAAAACAAAAACATGCACCTTAAAGTTCTACTGTATTTGCTACTGTATCCAGGAATACTCTCCCCCAAAAAATGTAATTTAGAATTGCCTTCACAGAGATGGTTAAGTTACAAACGTATCATTATATATGTAATAATACCATATCATTATGAAGCAAATTATATATGTCAAAGAATCTTCCAATCAGTATCTTCTATGCTTCAATTTTTCCATTTTAAAATATACATCCTAAATGTAATTACAAAGCACCACAACTGAATTTTGTACTTGAAAACCTACAGATATGAGTGAAACAATGAAGTATAAATAATGACTTTCATGGATAATCCTTTTTCTCAGTTCAAAATGACTAAGAAAAACTTGTTTTTATAAGTTTTATTAACCGAATTTGAGGGAGAGGCATTTTCTAAAAATGGGCAATTTACACAGAAATGGAAAAGTTGTGAGGAGCTTTTTATGAGTCCCATTCATCTGGAAGCATCAGTCAGACTTACATCAGAAGAAAAACTCTTTAATGAGAAACTCATGTCCCTTGTTAATTACTCTTTATTTCTAATGTACAGTAACACTGAAATACATTTTTAAAAATAATTAACACATAATGTTAGGAATATATACAACTACTACTACATTTATTATCTAAGGATCCTAGTAGGCTATTGTAGTTCCAGAAAAAAAAAAAAACTAGTAACTTTATTCATTTGGTTCACACTAATGTTTTTGTTGACAGCTTTAGTCATTTGTCAGAGCCAAAATTTTCTGCCTTTATTAGCTATTAATAAATGTCAATGATTGAAAATTTTATGTTAGAATTTTACAATCTCAATTTATAGCACAGATCTGAACCTAAGTCAGTATTCTCAAAAACTGGTAACTATCATTAAAGCATTAGATCTTACTGAAATTAACAAATGGTTACTCTTTAAAAATAGAATTATCAAGGGAAACTCATAATTCATTTTTCATTCTTTCTTGTAAGCACATACATATTACACATAACAAATTTTGTTTAGATGCTGTTATTGATATTAAGGCATGGTTTATACAAATAGTGTGAAATACAGCTATTTCATAGCTTCAGTAAGCCCTGTGCCTGTCTTTGACCTGTCAATCTATAAAAACATTAACATGAGAGAGTAGAGATGAAAGTGATTTTGCTAAAGTTGTCTGTTATCCCCAAGCTGTTCGAAGTTGATTCAGTTTTTCTGGCTGAGTAATTTAATATAATCTTTCACCCTTCCAAAGTTGGAAGAGACTATATGAGTTTCTGCTAGAAATTTGAGACATTTAAGTTACAAAACTGGAAAGTATATTATCTCACAAGCAGTAAAGATCTCTGTTTAAACTAATTAATTAGTGAAATACCAACTTTGACTATAATTAATACACATGCTAATATAGTTTTAATAGATTTTTCTTTGTTATGTGACTATCAGCTAAATATAATCTTTAAGCCACATTATGAATATATATGTGCATGTAAATACACACATATATATCCCAGAAATGGAAAATTGTCCAAATCTACCTTCATCCATTCAGTAAATATTTGTTAAGAACCTATTATATACCATTTAGGACTACTCAAAATCATTACTTTTTACATAAGATTTAAAATAGACTAAAGAAAGTATTTCTTGATCAAATGGAAGAGTTTTTATGCCATTACAAATCATCCACAATAACCGAAACCTGCATCTACTGTATTGTTTATTTCATTATTATTTCATTACATATGCATATTGCATTACTGACTTTTAAATTTCATATACTGGCACTTCAGAGACACTTTCAGGACCAATAAAATTAATTTGGATAGACCCAAGACAAGTTTTACAAAGAAGTCACATTTCTTCATATGGGTCCTAGTAAACATTTACAAAGACAGAATCCTTCTGAGTTAAAGTTGACACCTGACTTTAGAATGTCCCATGTACTCAAGATACCTTTGTAAACTGCCTCCCCTCGTCACCATTCCTACTCATTCAAGATAGCAACCAAGTTATACCATGGTCTTTTCTTGCTCTCTTCAGAGTTAGACCTATTCTATCTTACTTTTGCTTTGTTCACATCTCACAATTCAATCAATTCTTGTCAGGCCATCTCTTTTTCTTTTTTTTTTGAGAGGGAGTCTCGCTGTTGCCCAGGCTGGGATGCAGTGGCCGGATCTCAGCTCACTGCAAGCTCCGCCTCCCGGGTTTACGCCATTCTCCTGCCTCAGCCTCCCGAGTAGCTGGGACTACAGGCGCCCGCCACCTCGCCCAGCTAGTTATTTTTTGTATTTTTTAGTTGAGATGGGGTTTCACCTTGTTAGCCAGGATGGTCTCGATCTCCTGACCTTGTGATCCGCCCGTCTCGGCCTCCCAAAGTGCTGGGATTACAGGCTTGAGCCACCGCGCCCGGCCAGGCCATCTCTTTCTCATAATGAAAAACGTGTGCCCCTAAGCCTCTTTCCTTTTTTGTATATCTTGGAAAATAACTCATTTCAATTTTGTGAACCAAAGAAACAGTTTAGTCCTCATGCAGTAACTACTATCAGGTACCTACTATGTGCCACACACTGGGCTAGACCTTAGGAATGGCTAAGTATGAACTCAATGGCCAGAAATATTCTTGTAGCAATTAAAAGAGAAATCACTGATTTCAATGTCAGATCAGATCTCAAAAACAGTGCAATCAACCTTGAAAGCTCATGAAAGTACCCAGAAAACCCATAAGCATCCTTCCAAATACCTATCCACCTATTAAACTTGCTTTTCTTTAAGCATTTATATTTAGAATAAAAATAATATCTTATCCAACATAATTATTTTATATTTAGTTTCATCATTGGAATTGACTTTCCTATATTTTTCAAGTAGCAATGGTTTTTCTACAGCATGGGTAAAATATATTCCTCAACTATAATAAATGCCCAACACTCACTTGATAAACTGTTTCCCAGGGAAAATGGGTTCTAAATTTCCAACAATCCCTTCACAAGTAAACTTCTGAAATACAAAGCATTTGTAAATTGGGAATGCATTATTCTTTATTTCTACATTTACATTCCTATGGGCCTGGGAAATGGTACCATCACTAAGGTAACACAGTAAATGACTAGTTTAAAATAAAAAATTATTCTGAAGAGTGTGAAGCTGTATGCAAATAATTTTCCACCAGTCTAAGAAGGACTGAGCATGTGAAAATCTATAAAGAAATAAAAGTAAGTTTGTGATATTACCTCTATGATGTTTACTTTTAAGTGCAAGATACTAACTAGTCCAGAAAAGGTTTCCACAGACCAGCTGAGCTGCTTCTTACACATAGGTCAACAGAAAAAAAAAAAAAAAAAAAAAAAAAACTCGCAAAATCCCACAAAACAAAACCTGTTCTACAGGTTTCTGTACACGTAGAGGAAATGTTAGAGAAAGTACAGCCATTTTATAGTCTCTCTAGGGTACAAGCCCCTTTAATGTGTTTACTAATACGCTACAGAAGTTCTCATTTCAGTTGTTTTGCCTTAAAGGATTTGCTTGAATCAATAACTAAAGACATATGTATTTCTTGAGGCTAGCAGAGGGTAGATTAGAAACTCTGCTTAGAGTGGTACATCTTCATGCAGTGACTCAATTTCACAGTTAACAACATACACTTTCTTCCTCCTACAGAAGAATGATTACATGCCTCCATCCATGTCTTTAAAAAGATATATATAATTAGCATACACTCTCCCATTTTAAGATTATACAAAGAAGGTTTTATTGGAATGTGAATAGATATTTTTAAGAGTTTATTTTTCCTTGCTCTATTGCTTATACAAGCACACACACACACCCCCCAGGTTATATTAGCTCTTTAACAGAATAAGATTATATGAGAGGAAAGCTTGGTATAAACTGTAATAACAAAATAACTGCTTTTTATTCCTTACTTAGAAACCCAAGTGCATTCATTCATTTTACATAAAGCAGGAAAAATCAGGTGTCACTTATTGGGTCTAACAGAAGCAGTCAACATTTAAATTATATATCCTTTTAAATACTAGTATCAACATTTTTATTTAAATTATGAGAGAATGCTGTAATTTATAATACAAAATACAGTGATAATTTAAAATTTACTAACAATAGACAGAAAGAGATAACTTTCAAATTTTCATGCAGTTGAAAAAGAAACATGAAAAATGGCACACTGTACTGCCACTATTTTATTTTTGGAAACTCTTTGTAAATAAAAACCCATTTCCAAAATAAGATATTCCATGAACACAGAATAGTTGGTAATGGTTCAAGTGCCTTAGGCAACAGAGAAGTATTGTTTTGTAGTTTTTTTAAACCTCTCCTAGTAACAGCAATTCATTATGCACAAAGAAACAAGGTAACAGCACGGTTTATAATGAATATATAAGTAATAACTGCAGAACCTCAATTAAAACTAAAGTTTATCATATTCATTCCATTTCTATAAACCAGTATAGATAACCTTGTTGATACTCACCAAATGTTACAGAAATGCCTAGGCTTTTCTAAGCAACAAAACGTAGACACATGGTGAGGTGCTGAAGACAGCTCTTTCTTGAGCTCAAAGCACTTTAGATGAAGTAACCTTTATCGTCCATTTAATAGAGGTTGCCTCCTATTATCAAGCGTGGCAGAGAGAAGAGTTTCCACAATTCGGTCTTGACTTTCTGTCCCTCTTTTTGAAGAGTAACAGTTACCACCGGAAAACGTTACCAGAAAATGATCACTTGAACACTCACAGAGAGCAGCTGTAAATTTCCACTCTCTTTGCTTGCTCTCAGATTCCAAGCCTTGCTTGTCTCTTAATCTGTCACAGGCAGTTCTGTTTCTGGTCAAACCAGCTTGCTTATGCGTCCTCCACTCCCTCTCTAACACTTGCTTTCAGATATGTACCACAGTTACAGCTCCCTCTTTACTTCCTCCCTCCCCAGTCCTGCAACGTCACAAGAATGCGTGTAAAGCTGAGGCAAAATAAATTATTGGGCCAAAAAAGAAAAAAGTCTAGAGATAAACAAATTTTTTTCTCATCACTTTTTTCTGCCTTAAGTCTTATACTTGTTCATACACAGGGTTTTGTCAACTGATTAAACTGGCTTGACCATCTTGTTTAAAAATGTAAATAAAGGTTCTTTTTAAAAAAAGCATGTTGATAGTAATAATAACAGATTCACCTGCTAATATGCTAGCTCCTCAGGGAAGATGCTATTCCCAATTATAAGAAAGTGGAGCAAGTAAACACACAAGTACTTGTATTAGAAACTTAATCTTAACATTTAAAAAGCAAGGAAGGTTTTAGAGTACTTGTAATTTAAACCGTGTAATTTTATGAAAACTTAATGCATTTCTTAATATGGTCTATTTTGAAACTTGGACCAAAATTTGCAGTTATAAAAGGGAAAATTATAAAGAACATAGAAAAATATTGACACCAAAAACAATAGAGCAGCTTAATCATGTATGTGTAAACCAAATGTAATTATTGCCATTAGAAAGGTTTTTTTCCCCCTAAGCATTACCGGTCAGAATGCATAACACCTCTTATAAGAATTACAAAGGCTAAAGGCTACAAAAAATTATTAGAGTTATTATATACATATAATTATAGGGTGAAGTATCTTAAAATTATGAAACTCTCTGTAAGGTTTGGGGATGAGGAATTAGGTGGAAAGCTGAGTGGGCTCATGGCTGGCAGGCTTAGATGGCATTTGTAGGATTCTTTGGAATTAGGAGGCAATGTATGCAGCTTGGAATACGTGCTGGCTCTGTATGAATGCTAGTCAGATCCTGCTTTGGAGTTCTGTTCCAGTTCCTTAGCCCAAAACACTTTTAGGTTCTCCATCTCCCACTATGTCCCTAATCAAAAGTCTTGGGCCTTTCTACTGATGGATCTTCCAAGTACAGAAGGAACAGAAGTAGTTATTAGACCTATTATTAAGTAACACATTCTTATTCTCTGCAGAATTAAAATCTCTCTAAGAATATGAGCTTAAGTAAGGTGAAAGGTAAACATCTATAAATAGTTGTTTATACCCCTTAAGAAAAATAAGTCAGTAAAAGTCGGCCTTAAAATATAGATGTCTTGATCTGGTTTATTTAAAGTAGAATTAAAATTTAACTATATTATACAGTTATTTGGTTATTTCTTAGCACCTATTAACTAGGTATCAAAGATGACTAGAGATTAGTCTGCCAATTATTCTTTCAATTAGCAGTTTTATAATTTTTAGAGTTTTATTTCTTCTTTTTAAAGAGATGTTAAATGGAAATAATTCTAAATCACTCAGGGTATGAAGTGTCTAGTATCTTGGGTTATACTCCAAGAGTTGTAGTATAATTAAAGAAATTCAGAATTGATAAAAGTGGTTCTTAGGATAACAGCAAGGTTAATTTAAAATTGGGAGACTCTATATCAATCTACAATGTATTCAAAGGCACAAAGTCAAGTCAAGGACTTTAAAACATATAATTACTAAGATTATTTATGATTGATTGTATATTTAATTCCTATTAAATACCATTCCATATTTCCAACAGCAAGAGTGAAGAAATCTCATAATCTACAGGAAATTGGGTTGAGTATTCAGAAGGACATTGCCTCAGTAGTGGAACCAAATTAGGTTTAGATTAAAGGTTGTTCTGGTCCCTCCTAACAGATATTAAAAGTAAGCCCTGAAAGGATCATATTATTTCCAAATAACTGCAACCCAGAGTAAAATTTTAAAATATTTATATAAATTTTTAAAAATCTAGCACACAATAACATAAAATTCACAATATCTGCCATCCAGTCAAAAATCACCAGGCATGCAAAGAAGCAGGAAAACATAATGCATAAGAAGGAGAAAATCGATCGTTAGAAACAGAGTCAGAAGTGACACAAATAATAGACTTAGTATACAAAAACACCAAAACTATCAAAAATATCTTCCATAAGTTCAAGAAGGTATTAGAAAGATAAGAATGTTAAGGAGAGATATGGCAGATATAAAAAACATCCAGATCAAATTTCTAAGAATTAAAACTACAATTTCTGAGAAAACATTTATTCTGTTTTATGGAATGAAGTGTTGCCCAACTCTAGAATCACAAATAAGGCCAACTAAGATCTTTAAACAACAACAACAAGAAAAAACCCCTATAAACTCTGGAATGAAAATTACACCAAATGAGATGAATAGCAGACTGCACCCTGCAGAAGAAATGATTAGTAAACTTGGAGACACAGTGACAGAACATATCAAAATAAAGCATTGACAGAAAAAAAGTTTAAAAAAATAAAAATGAACAGAGAATCCCTGAACTATGGGGAAACTTAAAAGAACCTAATGTATACTATATATACTACATAGTGTGTATATATATACTATATAGTATATATATAGTGTGTATATATACACTATATGGAAAGTATATATATACTATATAGTATAGTCTTTGGGCCTTGAAGAAACATCAGCAGTAGCCAAGAAATAGTTGTTACAGGCCTTGGGCATAACCCAGTACTGTGGTGGCTTCAGGTGTGACCCAGCATTGACCCAGTATAGTCCTGGCAGTGGTGGTCATAAGAGGGCTCCCCTTCCCTCCCCCAACTGTAGGCAGCTCAGCAAGGAGAGACAGAGAAAGATCCCTTTGAGGGAAAGTAAGGGAAGAGAACAAGAGACTGTCTGGTAATCCAGGGAATTCTCCTGGATCTTACCCAAGACCACCAAGGCGGTATCTCCTTGTGTCTGCAAGTCACAACATTACTGGACTTTGAATATCACCTAATGCAAATATGGCTGCAGTGACCAAAGACTTAGATCACAATACTCAATTCCCTTTGAATATTTGGAAAGCCTTCTTAAGGACAGATACATTCATCCTTGAGAGGTCTGGAAAAAAAAATTTAAAAAGACAAGTACAAATAAGCCCAGAGTGTGAAGATTAGAAGAAATACCTAACTCTTCAATGCCCAGACACTGACAAACATCCAGAAGCATCAAGACCATCCAGGAAATCATGACCTCACCAAACCAACTAAATAAGGAACCAGTGACCAATTCTGGAATGACAGAGATATGTGACCTTTAAGAGAATTCAAAATAGCTGTTTTGAGGAAGCTCAAAGAAATCCAAGATAACACAGAGAAGGAATTCAGATCTTATCAGATAATATAACAAAAAGACTGAAATAATTAAGAATCAAGGAGAAATTCTGGAGCTGAAAAATTTAATTGACAAACTGAAAAATGCATCAGAGTTTCTCAAAAGCAGAATTGATCAAGCAGCAGAAAGAATTAGTGAGCTTGAAGACAGGCTATCTGAAATACACAGAGCAGTCAAAAGAAAAAAGAATAAAAATAAGGTAGCATGCCTACGGGATCTAGAAAATAGCCTCAAAATGGTAAATCTAAGAGTCATTGGCCTTAAAGAGGAGGTAGAGAGAGAGATCGGGGTAGCGAGTTTATCCAAACAGACAGCAGAGAACTTCCCAAACCTACAGAAAGATCAATATTCAAGTACGAGAAGTTTATAGAACACTAAGCAGATTTTGCCCCCAAAAAACTACCTCGGGACATCTAATACTCAAACAATGAAAGGTCAAGGATAAAGAAAGAATCCTAAAAGCAGCAAGAGAAAAGAAAATAATAACATATAAAGGAGCTCCAACACATCTGGCAACATATTTCTCAGTGGAAACGTTACAGGCCAGGAAAGAGCCATAAGACATATTTGAAGGTCTGAAAGAAAAAACCTTTTATCCTGAAATATTATATCCAGTGAAAATATCCTTCAAACATGAAGCAAAAACAAAGACATTCCCAGACAAACAAATGCTGAGGGATGTCATCAACCCAGACCTGTCCTACAAGAAAAGCTAAAGGGAGCTCTTCAGTCTGAAAGAAAAGGACATTAAGGTACAACAAGAATCATCTGGTCATCTGGGCCAGGTGCGGTGGCTCACACCTGTAATCCCAGAACTTTGGGAGGCTAAGGCAGGAAGATTTCTTGAGCAGAGAAGTTCAAGAACAGCCTGAATAACATAGCAAGACCTCATCTCTACAAAAAATCAAAATTAGCCAGAGTTGGTGGTGCATGATTGCACCACTGCACTGCAACCTGGGTGACAGAGCAAGACCCTGTCAAAAAAGAAAGAAAGAAAGGAAGAGGGAATGAAGGGGAAGGGAGGGGGAAGGGAGGGGAAGGGAGGGGGAAGGGAGG